TGATCTCTGAGCTTGATGGCCTGATAGATATACACATATGGCATTTGTTTGACAAAGTCAACAATGTAGAGAACAGCATCAATCAAATAAGACCCAATAGAGGATAATTCCAGATTTAAGAATTTTAACTTGGAATGCTAATGGCATTCTACAGCACAAACATGAACTAGAACTAGTGTAAGTAAACGACGATTTCGACATCTGTTTAATATCTGAGATACATTTACATAGAAATTCATAAAGGGTTACAGTTTCTACAAAGCATGTCATCCAAACGTTAACGCTGAGGAGGGGTCAGCGATTTTCATCAAGAGTCATATAAAACACAACAAAGAAAACAAAGTAGGGCTGGAAATTATGCAAGTCACGACGATAGAGATTTACTTGCCTAACAATAAGAACACAATCTTAAAAAAGAGGGTTACAATTTTTAATACATAAACTTGGTCACTTTTTCATTTTAGGAGTTGATTATAATGCTAAGTACGTAAACTGGGAATCTACATTAACTACACCAGAAGGTAGAGCATTGTATGAAGCAGGAAAAGACCATGCTTACAAATTAGTATCAACGACTTGCAAGCATGATCCTGCAAGCAACGAAAGCCAACATTTTGGCCAACAAATAGTAATAGAATCCCAGATCTTCCCGATTTCTTCATTCCAATTCCAAGGATTATCGGAAAGATTTACTTTCATTGAGGAATGTGAGGATTTAAATTCTGACCATACAGCAATAATACTCACTATTAGCAAGTTCATAATAGTTATGGACGGCCCATTAGCCCTGACAAATCAGAAAACAAAATTAGAACGAATTTAGAAATAATCTGGAGTAACAAGTCGACCTAAAAATTTCCGTAAAATCAAGAAACGGAATTGAGGACGAATTAGTTAGAAATCTAGTTAGAAACATCCAAGAAGCAGCTTGGTGTATCATTCTTGATGATCGATAATGCTAAAAATTACCGAAACAGTGGAAACCCTCAAAAAATCAGACTCTTACTTACAGAAAATCGCAGGACTCGCAAAATATGACAAATAACTTGAGCTCCATCCAATAAGACGAAAATTAACAAAATCAGTAATCAGTTAAAAAGGCTTAACAGGAAAATAAAAACAAAACCGTGCGACACTTTTTATGTTCGCTAAGAAAATGATTATTCACTGTGGAAAGTTTCAAAAAACCTAGCGAACCAACGACGCATATGCTACCCATCGAGGAAAATAATTGGGATCAAACAGAGTAAGGAGATAGTCGAAATTTTTCCAGAGTAAGGAGATAGTCGAAATCACTTGGAAAAAGCCTTTGCCACCCTTCCAAGGATGACGCCAGAGGAATGCATACCTTCCTAACAAATACCGGCTTACTTAAAGTTCCGAAGGTTACCTTAACGGCTTTAAAAAATGTAATGAAAAAATACAGTATAATACTAAAGGCATTTCCTGATAAAGCTTTAAAAAAATTCTGTACATAATAAATGCGTTCATTGAGAAAAAGTATGTACCAAGGCAATGGAAGGTTGCCGAAGTAATTATGATACTAAAGTCACCTAATGACAAAAACTCTTACAGGCCACTTTCATTGTCACCATTGATGTTGAAAATTTTTGAAAAACTGTTTCTGTTAAGGCTTGCGCCGATAATAGAAAAAAGAAAACTAATTCCACAGCACCAATTTGGCTTGAAAGTTCACAGTATCACTAATATAATTGAAAACGCCTTAGAAAACAAAGAAATTATTGATACAGTGTTTCTGAGTCCTTTCCTTGTCGTGTCAAATACGAAAGTGAATATTCAAGTTTAAAATCTATTTGAGCTGGAGTTCCTCTGGTAGTGTCCTTGGCCCAATTCCGTATATCCTTTTCACTAGGGATATACCGACAAACGATGGTTATTCTATAGCTAAATTTGCCGACGACACTGCGATTCTAGCTACGGGAAAAATAGTGGATGAAGCCACGTCAGGATTGCAAGCAGCTGTTAATCAAATTAGTCAATGAACCAAAAAGTGAACAATTAAACTAAAAGAAGGAAAGTCATTACACATAAATTTTATGAACAGAAATGTTGAACCAAAGAGAACATACATAAACTCGAATCAATTTCCCTTTGCGAATACTGCAAAATACTTGGGTATGACATTATACTACAAACTAAAATGGAAAGAACACGTAAAGAAGAAAAAGGAAGAAATGAACATCAAGATTCGGAAGCTCGCCTGGCTAATTGGCGAATACTTAAAACTCAGCATGCAAAAAAAACTGGTATTGTACAATCAGATTACAAAACCTATGTGGACATATGGCATCCAGCTTTGGGCTTGTACAAAGAAAGCCAATTACCAACAAATACAAGTACTACAAAGTAGGGTACTAAGAAATATCACGACAGCACCACGGTACGATCGGGAATTATGTCATTCATCGGGATCTGAAAGTAAATCAGGTAGCAGATAAAATAAAGAGTTATGCATTAAAGAACAAAAAAAGAGCACACTAACATTCAAATGATGATATTAAGAAACTGCTGACCCCTTCATCACAAAATAGAAGATTAAAAAGGTTGAAGCCTTTTGATTTTGCTCTATAATACTATTGTATTAAAATAAAGAAGTTATGGAGTTCGACCAATTTATAATCAAACGCAAAACATAGTTAAGAAAACAGAATTGCTAGATAGTATATTCTAACTTAGTTGCAATAAAGAATCATGAAAAAAAATTTGCTTCATTTCAGAAATTCCTGAAGTATTTCAGTTATAGCTCTTTTTTACTCTATTTCCTTTGCCCTTAAAAAAACATTAAACAAAAAAGTCTATAAAAATATTAGCTGCAGCTAAAATTTAAAATATTTCAATAATTGCATAACTAACTCGCGATAAGATAACAATTTTATCACATATTTACATAGTTAAGTGATAGTGACAACTCCTGTATTTTTTCTGTAAATAATTTCCTGCCTTATTTGTGCAACTTTTTAAGTAGGTATATTAGATGCAAAATTAAGAAAAAATTGAATTTAATAAATTTAAAAAAAAATTATTTTTATTTTTCAGTTAAATAATTTTCATTATTGCATTAATATAAAAAAAAATATAATTTTTATTTGATTATAAAGTCAACGTTCTAATAACTGTCATCGTTTCATTCGCTGGCCTTAGAATACAATTATTGTGATATATTTGAATATATATATATATATTTCGTTTACGTATATAATACATATGTTTGCAGATGTTTCATGTGTGATAATGATTTATTTTTTTCAAAAATTGATTAATATTTTAAATTTTTTTTTATTAACTAATTTAAAAAAAAAAAACCTGAAGTAAATAAAAACCTAATCCCTTTTTTTTTGTATAAATTTTAAAAATAAAAAGAAGTTCATACTTCTTAAATATTCCAATTTAATATTTGCAATTTATTAATGTAGGTACTGAAAAGTTTGCAACAAAAAAAATTAACAAACAAAATTTGTGTCAGAATTTTTATTGATTTTTTTAAAAATAAAAACAAAAATAATAAAAAAAATAAGTAAAACTTTTAGTAACAGTGCAAACATGAAAGTAAGTGTGTACCTTACTACATAAATTCAAAAAGAACTTAGTGGAATTTGTTTTTCTTTCGATAAAATAAAAGAAAACTCATAATCTAACTGATTATTTTATATTTAATGATATTCCTACCTATATACATATGTATATTTAAAAAATATGTTCATATTATTTGGAATTTATTTAAGTAAGAACTCTCCCCAATTCTTTTTTCTCCTTTGCTTCACCTTTATGGGTTTTTCCGCACAAAAAAATATCATTAAAATCGCATTCACATGTTATTATCTACACGGACTTACAATGAAATCAAATATAATTTCATCTAATAAAATATAGATTTCACATCAAATTAAAATCAAATTCGTGGCAGCATTTTATTCATAAAATATTTACAAGTACCTATTTACCTTGGTCTATAGAAAAAATGCTTTCATTTTCTATGAAACTATCTGAATTTTTTATGAATCTTCACATAATTATTATCGGCATTCATATGATTTTATTGAAATAATTTAAAGAAAATTTTTTTGAATCTGCATGCAATTTTTACACACATATCTACATATGTAATAAGGAAAAGAAAATTAACAAGATAAGTAAATAAACTGGATGTTATTAGAAAAACTAGGTATACCTATACCCAAACAATATATTTGAAAAGAAAATATTTAAAGATTAAAATTAATTTTATTATTAATTATTTATAAAACGAAAAAAAAAAAAAAAACAAAGTGAATGTTTAAATTAAAACCTGTTCTTATAATATTATCATTAAAAAGTATTCTAACTACATACATATGTAAAATTTATAACTTGTGTTACTTTATTATTATTTTGTAGATAAGTACAATGATATTCTATTATTAGTTCAACTGTTGAAATAAACACAGCCAGAATTCAGAATCGCAAAGTCGGATTTAATTAAACAAACAATTAAAAAAATTTTTTGAAGGTTTCCTTATTCTTAAGTTCATACTCTTTTAGAACGGAGATACTTTAAGCATCTTTCCTATCTATAAATATAAGTTCTATTCAAAACAGATAATTCATTATAATACATTATAATGAAAATTGTCCAAGATAAAAATGTGACGGCATAAAATTGAGAGAAATATGTAGGTTATTGTTAATTTTTTTGCTGGACAAAAATATACCATGTAAAAAATTTACAGGAGCATTTTATATTGGACAGACCTACAGTGTGTGCAGCTAAAGATCTGTATGCTAAGAAATATATTTGCACCCAAATATAATATGAAAGTAATTTCAAACTTCTTAAATAACAAGTTTTTTCATTATTACTATGTATTTTAATTCTATTACTCTTATTATTATTATTATTATTATTATTACTGCTTTCACTTAAATATTTCATATGTTTTATATACTGTATTTAGCATATAAGCATATACATATGTATATACAAATAAAAAAAACTTGCTTACCTTGACAGTGATATTACGATGTTGATGTTTATTTCCATCGTTTAATGGCGGCTTAATTGTTGATGCTGTAGTTGTCTTTCCTCCTGATGATGTATCAATTTTATTATTATGAATAATGATTATTAATTATTGTTATTATTATGTGAAGAATTATTATTATTATGACAATTTTATAAAATTCAATCCATAAATTTTACCTCCTAATCCAACATTTCCTCCATTTGTATTACTACTACCACCATCAGCACCACCACCCCCCGTTTCAATATTTGATATTGTTGAAGCACTTGAGAATGTTGATGACTTTGATGAGGTTGCAGTAGCAGATACTGATGATGCCGATGATGTTTTTGCTGCATTTCCCGATGTATTTGGATTGCTTAATGTCGCATCTCTTTTGTGACGAAATTTTTCTATTTTATCATAAATATTAAAATCACTATTTTCATTATTATTATTTTCAATTGATCTACTAATTATAAATGGTTTACGTATTGAATCTCTTTCTTCTTTTAAATCAACATGTAATAATGTTGGCTTATCACCATACCGAACGCAATTTATTTTTTTCGGTAAATTTAATATAATTAAATTAAAAAATAAAAATATTGTTATTATATCGAATATAAAATTAGATTGCCACGACTTTGGCATTTTTAATTGCTTTTTTTCTATTCCTCTTTTTTTAACTTAATGCAAATTTTTTTTCGATTAAACAAACTAACTTTTTCAAATCACTTTTATCTTATTACTTCATTTGGAATTATTTTTTTTTCCTTGACTTTTTAATGAGCAAAAAATTTATTTCTTTTGAATTAAAATAAAAAAATAATCAAAACTTTTTATTCCACGACGATTTATTTTTTTTTTTCAAAGTACTTTAAACTTTCTACAATTTGTTATTTTTTTTCCACACACACTATTCCATATACGTTCGACGTCAACGAATACTAAAATTTTCTTTTTCCCTTTTTTCTGTTCAATTCATTTAAAATGAAATGCGAATGCGTCTTTTCTTTCTTCTTTCATCAAAAAATAAATACGGTTGCAAAAAATTGACATTTAATGTCATTTTATAAAACTGTCAAAATCATACAAGCTACCGTTGTTTTAATTTTTATGGTAGTTTATTTTAGAGAATTAGAATTGTTCTATAACTAAATGCGGTTGTCAAAATTATAAAAATTTGAAAACCCTCTTAAAAATTTTAGTTTTAGCGTTTCATTATCATCAGGGCTCAAACAGGGCTGTTGTTTGAGAAATATTCATAAAAGGGAGCCGTTTTCAAAAAAGTGGAGCCAATTCCTATATTTCATAAAAAACAATTTATCATCGTACGAATACAAAAAAAAACGGGAAAACAAAACACAAACTTTGAAAAAAAATTATTAACAAATTATAAATTCGAATTAAAAAATATCACAATAAAAACTTAAACTTAAAATATTATTTTTTACATGAAACTTCATATAGGTTGGTAAATTTTTTTAAGTTTAGGCTCTAGTTATGATGATTAGAAAATTTCCTTAATACATTAAAAAAACCTAGTAAAAATGTCAATGACATTTTTTTCTGACCATATGTTTTCTGCCTTATTCATTTCCTTATATTATAGATTAAAATGGTGTTGAAAAAGCTTACTCCAAATAAAAAAAAGTGTACTTCAAATTTTCTTTCTACTGTAAGTTTAAATAAGATCACAACTTGATTCCTAGCTTTTCGCATCAATATTTTTAAATAATTATTTTGAATTTAAAATTTTGCTTACCATTTCAACACAAAAGGACTTTTTCAATTTAGTTTTAATCAAATTACCAGAAGAAAATACCATTTCAGCTGCCGCTCTTCAACGCGCTAAACTGAGGGAGCTTTAAATAAATTTTTCAAGTTTTCAACAATATACTCGTACGAATTCAATCAAAATGTCTTAATTGCAATATTATCGTCTATTGAAAATATTCTATAACATATTTCATCGGCTGACGTCGACGAATTTTCTCAAGTTTGGTTATTTGACACATTTTTTTGACTAAATGATTAACTTAACTACAAAAAGATAGATGGCGGCTTTTGAATTAGCAGAAGAAGGTCTTGTCAAAAAATTTTTAAATATATGTTGCCAATTTTTTTATTTAGAATTTATATTTTTGAACTAAAAAATTTTTTCAAGAATAATTATCAATATTGTTTTTGGGTCCGACTGAGGAAAAAACAAAATCGGAGCCAAAATGCAAAAGGAGGAGCCGGAACTCAATTTTTCAAATCGGAGCCAAACGACTGCTCTGCTTATCATACATTGTTAATAGATTTCGTTTGATGAGAATTGTATGGTTTTTTATTTTTTCCATCAAACAAAATTCATGGACCCATCCAACCAGCGTTTCCATTTGGATACAATTATATCCATTTGGATACATATTTGTTTTAAATTTGGCTTGGATACAAAGATACTCAAATCTGCTAAAATGCTTAAATTGGTTACATTAGAAAATTTTGCCGAAATATGGATACATTTATTTCTTAAATGAGTACTGTCTCTTCCTTATTCAAATCTAGAACAAGAAGGTACCAGAAATATTTAGTGTAAGCTAGGTGTAATAGAAAATACTTTGACTGTACATATTTTTTAAAATTTGCCATTTTTCATGGTGAATCGTCTTTACCACATAGTTCAACAACTACTGAACATATGCATATGTATTTCCCGACCTAATCTTTTGATTTCTTAAAAAATTTACTATAAATAAGAAAACTCTTTTAGAATAAAACAAATTAATATTAATTATGAGTTAATTTATAAAATTATTAAGACGACTTAGTATATTAATTCTACTTTAAGAAGTTGGATACATTTTGGATACATTTTTTTCTCGAAATTCGATGCATTTTGTTTTTTCCGAATGGGAACACTGCAACTTTCAACTTTCATCAAGTTTCCACCAGAACAGTGTTTGACAGTTAATGTCAATTTTGTTATTACCAGCACTAGCATGTAAGTAAAGAGAAAAACTTATTTAGAAAAATATTAAAACAGGATGTTATTTAAATTCTTTTAATATTTCCTTTTTTTGCTTCCAATATTTAATTTTCAATTATTTTCAAACTTAACATTAAATTAGTGTATGTATGGTAGAGAAAAATTTAGTGAAGTTAGGATTGTTTAAATATAAATATAAGATCTTACAAAGCAATGCAAGATTGTCAAAACTTTTAAAAAGGAATGCACTGTAAGTTTGTCGAAACCAAAAAGAAGCAATAAAATTTCGAAATCTTTGTTGCACAAAATCTATTTATACCCAACATGACAAAGAAGTTTCGTACCCATACTTTGTTTAATATATGTATAACCATAAACTAACTTTTGACAGATATTGTTTATTGAACTTTATGTTAGTTTAGTATAAAAATTGAAAAAAAATTCAAAATGCACCGTAACTCAAATCAAAAAAAAATTCTCATTTCAAAAAAAAAAAAATAAACAAGACAAGAAAGTTGAAAAAAACTTAATAAAAGTGGTGATAAACGTAAAATATCAAAATATTTGTCAAACACATGCAAAAATTATTTAGATATGCCAAAGAGCGAAAATTTTGATTTTGAAATAATATATGAGTGTGATATTTAGAAAAAGCAAACACATCAAGCAAATTTTCAAAATCAAGCAACCGACCTAAATTTTTTGTTGCAATTTTACGCAACAAAAAATTTAGGTCGGTCTGGGATAAAACTTGAAAGAACTTTTAAAAGAAAGACAATGACAAAATTTCGTGTAAAATGTAAAAAACGTAAAAAAAACCATTTATGAAATTTTGAAAAAAAAAAGTTATTTTTTAAATAGTTTTTTTTCCAAAAATAAAACCTTCTGATATAACCAAAAAAAAAATGTTTCGACAGCTGTAAGATTTTTAAAGTTTTTACAACACTAAAATTTTTACTCTACAAAACTTGAAAAAAACTTTAAACATTGAGAAAATGAGAATGTCATCATATTCTCTTTGTTCAAAAAGTATTATCCCAGACGCTTTGCATGCAAAAACTTTATTAAGTTTTAAAAATTTTCTTATACCAGACTTTTATTGCTAATGAAAAAAAGTTTTTTTAAAAACAAAATCTTCTCACATTATTGAGAAGTACATATGTTTTGACAGCTTTTTAATTTTCGAATTATTTAAAAATTTAAATTTTACTTTACAAAACTTGAAAACATTTTAACTATTGATAAAATGCTGATGGATAGTCATACTTTTTGATATAGAAGACTCTTAGTTCTCCAAAATACCATCTCTGAAGAATATTAAAAAAGCGAAAAAATAAATTGAAAAAAAAGTACTTTTTTAACGAAATATGTAATTAATTTTTAGAGAACCTTTTATTTCAGTCTTCAGTACAACAGTATTTAGGTATTTTTTAGGAAATTAATCTTATTCTTACCTAATCTGAAAATACTTACCACTTACATTTAAACATGCCTAATATCAAACTGAAAAATCTCGAAGAACAACTGAAGTTATGAAATTAAGAGAAGAACGGAGAAATTCGCATTATATGAACTTATGCGAGGTTGACATAAATTAATGCAGTTTTAAATCATCTGGGCATTTGGTTTAATTCATAATATGTAGGTATCTGGAACATTTAATAAAATCCACAAACAATGACAATTGTAATTGAAATACGTTCACATTCAATAGTAAAAGAAAATTGCCGACAGGTGTAAACAAAAAGATTTATACTTTTTGTTTAAAAAAGTAAGAGGAATTTTTTTGTCAAGTTTAAATGTGATTTTAAGCGAGTGAAATTAAATTATATTAGACATTTTGGTTTCGAGAATTACGTGATTTTTTTTTGTATGTTTACATACTGTATGGACAGAGAGTGGAAGAAAATTTTTGAAACCAGCACAGCAAATGATTTTTATATGCTGCAACTTAAATACCGAACTCAACCAAAATCAGAACGAAACCTTTTTTCATCTCAAACGTATTAAAGGAAATAGAATTCAAAATAGATAAACAAGAACAAATATTTTTCTTCTTAAAAATTTTCACTACCACTGAACAATGACGTTTAAATCGAAACTCGATGATTTCAATCGAATGTATGAAAAAGACAATTTCGCAATCGCATACAATTGAATATTATTCCCTATTGAATGAACTAAATGCTTAACGGTTATTAAAAAAGTGTTATCAAATTACAAAACATTACTCGCATAAAAGCAGTTAATATTTATGATTAATTGAGCGTTTAGACTCATTATACCTTTTTTATATATGATGAGTGTTTAGATTTAAAAGAAAACAATTTGTTGTTAGTCTTCACTTTTTAATAAAAGTATTTAAAAGTCAAATTATCGGTGAAAGTAGATTTAGAATCCAAGTTCTCAGTATTTTCTAATGGATGCTTCACTTTTCCAATAAGATTAGTCATTTTTACAATTAGACTTTTACATTTTTTCTTAAATTATCGACTGAATGTCTCATTTTCAAAAAGAAAGTGAATAAATTTTGCACGCATTTTAGAAAAAAAAAACGAGATAAGTATAATAAGTCTTCTCACTCGAAAATTACATTATACAAGTGTATGATAGTTATACGCTTTCTTCTCACCTTCCGAGCAAAATAAGACAACAAAATAAAAACAGCATTTTTAAAGTAAGTATTTATATTTTATTGGATTTGTTACCACATTAACAAAAAAAAAAAATCGTGTTCCTCTCAATTTTATTAATATTGAATTTAAAATTCATTATTTTTCTCAGCTAATTTTTTTGAATTTAAATATACCTAATCGTATTTATAAATAAAATGCATGTAAAAGCATTAAAAAATTCAATAACAAAACAACATATAAAAACTTGTTTCCTAAATAAAATTATGAAAAAATATATCCATGATATTGTTGAAAATATTTTTATATTGAAATACATTGACCATTCATTTCCGCTTTTAAAATATTTATTACCTGTAGAAATATATTTATTCCGTGTTTCGTAATTCTTTTTCATTTCATCAGGGCTGTTACAACAGCTTTAGCGTTAATAGCTTTTAAATCAGTATAAGTTTGTCCAGTACCAACAAAAACAATAGGTTGTCCTGTAATATATGTCATTGAAATAGCAGCACCAACTTTATCATCAATTGTATCAAATTTTGTCAAAACAATCCCATCAATAATATGCGGATTTTCATTAGATGAAAAGTCAGCCAATGCCTGATTGAATTTAACTAACTGATCAACAGCTTCGTTACCAACCAATGCTTCGCCAACAAACAATACCAAATCTGGTTCATTAACTTTAATTAATTTGGCCAAAGCTCTCATTAATGGTTCGTTGTCCTGCATTCTCCCAGCAGTATCTACTAGTACAATATCTTTGTTACTTTCTTTTGCATATCTTATAGCTTCCATTGCTATTCCAGCTGCATCTTTTCCGTAACCTTTTTCATATAACTCAACCATGGTGCGTCCGTTATGTTTTTCTGATGGGTGTAAAGCATTCAAATGGCGGGTATGAGTTCTTAGTTGTTCAACAGCACCAGCACGAAATGTATCACATGCTGCTATCAGTACATTAAAATTATTCTCAATCAGCCAAAAACAAATCTTTGCTAAATTTGTCGACTTTCCAACACCGTTTACACCGCAAAAAGTCATAACATATGGACGATTATTTTTTTTAGCCTCCATTGAGTCTCGCAAAATATCAACTCTACGTTTAGGTGATAAAATTTGTACCAAGGCATCTGTTAAGGTTGATTTAACAGTTGCTTGAATAGTTTCAAATGTACCCAAAACTTTTCCTTCTAGTTTTGTAGCTACAGAATCACATAATTTGCAAGCTATATCAGCAGCTACATTTTTTGATATTAAGTGATCTTTCAATTTGTCTAATGCTGGAGACATATCACTTCTCGATAGAGCTTTGGAACCGACCAAACCTTTGAATAATGAAAACATTCCGCCACCTGATTTTTTATTTGATGTACTATTCGGTTTCGACTGGTTCTTTTGCGCGACATATTCTTCTTCAGATTCCGACTCTGAGTATTCTTCACTTTCACTTTCTACTTGTAAATCCTGTATACCACCTTTCATTGTCCCAATCATCTGAAATAATTTTTTTTATTAAATATTTGTTGTTTATCATTTTACGGAAATTTGTATATAATTTGTATATATACCTCGTTTTGATGGTCAAAATCGCTTCTCATATCTTCTGGTTTATCTTTAGATCTGTCTAAGTTCGGCATATCCCGATTTGTACCACCTAAATCCCAAACTCTGGGCTTTTTACAAGATTTTTCCTTTTCTGGTTTAGGACTCTTTTTTTCTTTATTTTTACCTTGTTTTCCTCCCATTTTTTCCATTAATTTTTTGCGATTGGCTAGAATAACTTCCTCACGACTTGGATTTATTTCGAATGAGTTATTTTGCTCCTTTTCAGCTTCCACAATTTTAACTGATTTTTTCGCCGATTGACCGCTACTTTTGTCATTCATGTCACCTCTACGTTCTATCATTGATGCTACAGTCTTTTTAGATTTCGCAGAATCTTCATATGATCTCATCTGCTTTGGAATTTTTAATTGAGTTCGACCCCATTCCTCCGCTAGCTCCAAGATCTTATGAAATTCTTGCTCAAATTCATAGTTCATGTAATTTCGACTCGCTGATTGTAGCTCATTTTTATATTTATCTCTAAATTCCAAATGTACGTCTGTCAAAAATTTATCCACATATGACAATTGCAGTATTTTTTGAAACGCAACCACGAATACCAATTCAAATTCATTATCCAATTTATACTGCAACGTTAAATTATCGCTATCAAAAGATCCAGATCTTTCCTGTAAATAAAAGTAAATTTAAATTTTCAGAAAAGCATTCAAAATAAATTAAATTAATTTAATAGGAAAATTTGATAAAAAAATATTCAGCTATAATTTTTGGATATCAAAATTTTTTACGTGCAAATTTAGTTACTAAATTACGTGCAAAAAATAATACTATCTTAGATCTGTATTAAGCAAATTGCGAAATTATTAAAATTAGGTACCTTGAACGTAATTAGCATATATACATAAAAAATTTAAAAAAATCGATCATTATTTTTACCTGTAATATGACCGTCCTAATTAAAGCATTCACTGAGGGTGCAAACAATTGCTTCGTGCCACGAAAGCACCACAAAACAATTCCACCTTTTGTGAATATTGTGAATAAGTCTAACATAATTTTAAATTCAGTTCGAAATTTATTTTTAAATACCTAAATTTCCACTTTTACTTTTAAAACAACAATAAACAAAAGAAAACGAAAACAAAAATTATTATTTACTAGACAGCTTTATATTTACAACCTTGCTTTGTTACACAGAAATAAAAAAATGTGCATAGGTTTTTTTTACTTTTGACTTTTTTTATTATGACATATGATGTTTTGATGTGCTGGCGTGATTTAATATTGCTCTTGTCAAAATTGAATTATTTTAAAATTTCCTTTCTCTCAAATTCAAAATAATACTTTTTTCCTTTTGAAATATTCACAATAAAAACTGATTTTTTCTTGTAGTTTTGATTTATTTAAATAATAGACGGCTGCTTTACGAAAAATTCTACTCAACTCATTAAAATTAAACTGCTGAATGGTATTTTTTTGGGAAGTGACTTTTTTAACCTTTAAATTAAAGCGCAAATACAACGTATTTGAACTTTTTGATTTTAACAACGTGTAGGTACAACGTAATTGAATTTTTGACTTTGACAACTGTGAGTTGCGTACCTAAGCCCCCAGCCTATTAGAATTTTTAATTTTGACAATGCGTAAGTACATTTTCTTCTGTTTTTTTTTTTTTCTTTTAATGTCAAATTGATCTGTTTATTCCCATTTCACATAATATGCAAAACACGAACTTAAAATTGACCAATATAAACTTCTTTTAGAAAATAATTTTATATTTTAGAAACTTAAAAATTAACTTTTTTTTTGGAAAATTCAAAATGAATTTTTGAAAATAAATGTCAGACTAGGTGTGTTCAATTCATTTACTTTGTGCGTTTTGCCATTTCTGTGCATTCTACGCACTGATTATTTCTCTTTAATATTCCGATGAAATAACAAACAAAATTTTTTCAAACAATACAATTGTTATAAATATATGAAATATGTAATTTTGAAAAAAAAAATTATAAGGAGGACTAGCTTTCATAATTTGAATCATTTGACATCATACAACGATATATACATATCGTGAAAAAAAAATGAAGTGACACGCATATTGTAAGCAAAAATGAATTTTAAAAACTTAAAAGACTTATGTCAGAAGTTCATAATTTAAGTGTATATATTAAGCTGGATTCATTGGTTGGATAAAGATACAAAATTCCAATTAACAAATAACAAAAAAATACAAAAATCCAATTGAGAAATGAGTAACCTTATTGGAAAAATTAAATATCCATTAGAAAACTGAATTCTGATTTTAATTTTCACTTCACTTCAGTGAAAAATGAGATACACCATTTGGCTCTTAATGGTTAATTTAATGGCTTACTGGTTCGCAAATTGTAAGTATAATCACTATTATTCCATTTCGATGGTATGTTTATTATAACGCAATAGTTTAGAATTTCAAACAAAAGAACATACATATATTTGTTTCTTTTGTGCAATTGATAAAAGAGGAAATTGTTTTGTAATTTACATATAATAACAACTGCTGCAGTTTCTGCAAACTATAAAATATAGAAAATAAGACTAGACTATAGCTGTAAACAACGATTAAATAGAAGCGGTCTTATTAATTATACTAGAACTAGATATAAAATTAAATATTAAAATTAAAACAAAGTTATTTTAATAATAGATTTTCGTTTAATATGTATTCTTATTTATGTAGATTGTCCGAATTTGTAATTTCAAAATAAGAACTGTTCTCTGATTCTCGTTTAAATGCAAACATACTTTTACTTACGCAAACTCTCTTTTGTGTATGGGAGAAATTTGTGTTGAATGCAACGAACGCTACGCTACTCTCATTATTTGTTAAAAAAAAATTGTTCTTGCACTTTGCAGTGAAATTAAAATAAAGTGACATCATCTAATTTGAGAAAAAAAAAAACTCAAAATTAGGTTATTTTATTTTCGGTAAATTAAAATTTTTTTAAAAATATTATTTGAAGAAATTTTTGCATATTAAAAACAAATTGTTGTTTTATAAAAGTGACAAAAAATAAAGAAAGATCAAATTAAGTTTTAAGTTAAAAAAATTCCTAATTTAATTTGAAGAGTTCAGTTTCAAATGAATGTGTGTGCACTGAGTATCAACTATCAATATTAAGTATGTATGTATTTTGTTTTTTTAAATAAAAAAAGAAAAAGAGCGCAAACTCTCAACAAAGTTCAAAAATATTCTGTAAAAATTTAAAACTTCAAATTATTAAAAATTTAGATGTGGTCTGTCTCTCTTCAATTTTTGGCCTAAATTTATTTAAGTAAAATAAGGATAACAATAGAGTTGAGGAAAAAATCAAGTCTGCAGACTGCAATTTATAACATTCTCTCTTTAAAGAAACTTTTTTTTTATTTATTAATTATTTTCTAAGTTTTCTCTTTATTATAGGTCGGCCATTTAATGTTTTGAGTGACACGAGTTTGGACGGGCGTAATTCAAATTTTTATCCGTGTGTGTCAAATGGAGAAAAATAAATTTTAAAAAAAGTTTTTTTTTTTTGATTTAATATAAAAAAAGAAAAAATAAATTATTAAAGTCAGGTTTTTTTTTAAGTTTTAAGAGGAGTCAAATAAAAATTTTATTTACTGGTGCAAAATATAAGTGAAGAGTTTAAAAAAAAAAAGCAAGAAAAATTTATTAAAAAAAAAAAACTAAAATTAACACAAAAAAAAAAGTTTTAATTTTTTTTTCATTATTTTTATTTTAACGTAAAATTTTTTTGTAAAACGAAATTTGGATAAATTTGGAAGAAAGTATAATTGAATCCTGTATGCAATTGTGTTGGTAAGTCTAATTGGTTTTTCATATATTGCATGCATGCAGATAAACATACATATTTTTATGTGTACATAAAAATTTATATTTTCTACATTAAAATCGCAAACTTCAATTTTTTTTTATATTCTCTATGAAAATTTAAGTAAAATATTATTCTGAGTTTTATTATATAACATTTTATTTCTTATTAACAATTTAATTAAAAAAGTTGTATTGAAAAAAGATAACATATCTCTATTCACAAATTCTCATGGAGAAAACTTTTCCAAATTATTCATTTCAACATAATGTAATTAGTTTTGTATGTACCTGTAAATTTAGGGTTTAGGTACAAAATATATGTACATAATAATAAACATATATGTATACATAGTGACATACTCACTTATATTCTTATTTATGAAACACCACCTGTGCATATCTTGAAAAAATGATAAGAATTATGTATAAATTTTTTTTATTTGTCATTTTCTTTAGATGTATGTATGTATGTACATATGTTACCAATTTCGTAAAATTCTCTTGTGTAAGGTGTACCTTACATATAATTTATTTTTTGTATATTAAATTAAAATATAATATATTTATACATAAATGTACTTAATACTGTTAATAGCAAATTTCTTATAATGAAATACATTACTAATGTGTATTATGTTGTGTATCAGGTACGATTTATATGTTTATTTAATAAAAAATTAATAAAAATTCTTCACAAAAGAAAGGAAAAAAGAGAAGAAAATTAAATATATAATGTAAGCGAAAAGTAGAGCTAAAATATTTAGAAAATTTCGTTGATGAGAGAAAAATTTTAATTGTCAGAATGAGAGATGAGAAAGGGGAATCAATGAATATTTATATCTATAACTTAACTACATTTATATATTAAACATTCATATATACAACACAATAAAATAAATACATAATATTTATAAAATATACACACACATGCAAAAATATCATTAATAAAGTAAAAGACGAATTTTTTTCAACAAAATGATGACATCATACAATTTTTATATCAAATGAAAATTTTGAATTTTTTCATTTATTTTTATGAAAAGTTGATCAAAAAATTCCTAATAAAATGACACTAGTTTTTAAGCCTTGGCCAGATTTTCTATTTAACTTGAATTAATTTAGAAATATTTTAACTTTTAAAACAGTTTTTAAAAAAGAAAAAATAGTCTTAAATATTTTTAATTTGCTAGATATTCATATGTACATAACATATTGTGTATGTACATAGGGAGATTGCAAGTTGATAGGTATAGATAAATTCACTGTTTGAAAATAAAATACATATATTATGATAAAATAATTAAAAAAAATTTTATTATAGGACTAGGTATGTATAAGTTTTATTTTAAAAACAGAAATATTAAAAAGGTCTCAGTCATTGTCACATAGAAAAATTTGTGTAGTGAAAAAAACGGCCTATCTTAATAATATTTTTAAATAAAAATTTTAGTTATGGAAATAGTGTATCAAGATAATATTAAATAATATTGTGGTAAGGATAGTCAAAATAAAAAACAGAAATTTTTTAATATACATATTTAATTATTAATACAAAAAAATAATTTCAATGTGAGGGAAATTTGTTATGGTAAATATAGGAAAATCCTTTTAATACCAGAGAACAGTTACATATCAGAAAACTACAAATGAGCCGAAAGGTTTTTCAAAAATGTGTAATGACGACTCCTCATTATAACAGAAAATATCAATTGAAAATTTTGTTTTATAATTAATTTTTAAACCGAAAAACGGTCAATATTTTTGTTCCATTTATAAGTATGCGAGATATTTAGTAGGGAATTCAGTATGTACAAGGGTGTGTAGGGAAAAATAACAGGTTTTCGATACCTTCTTCACCGGTATTTCATTTCATGGCGGTAAGTTCCTTTTCAACATTTTATAAGATTGATTACAAAAAATTGTTATTAAAACACAAAAAAAAATATGAAAAACTTCAATGTGGGGGGAAATTGTTCTTCAAAAATGTAGAAAATAATTGAGAGACGTTCAATCAACAGAAACATTTAGATACAAATATGTGAAAACGAACTTGATCAAATTAAATTCAGATTAGATTAACCACCGTAAGGAGGTTTGGAAAAGTCATATTATTTACATTTCAATAGTCATATTATTTACGTTTCCATTTTCTAGAAAAATCCATTTAATATCAGAGAACAACTACACATTAGACAACTATAAATGAGCTGGATACAAATGAATTAGTTCTTCTTTTAATGAATTTCGACTGATTAACAAATTTGTGATTAACATTAATGACAACAAAATTTAGTTATTAAAATTTGTTCCAAATTTATTAAACAAAGCCCTGGTAAATATAAGGCCACCGTACTAAAAAGTTTTCCCGAACTACCTCAATAAGGATATAATTCGAATGTTTCTCCTCAATTTATTTTGCTATTATAAAGACATTTAATTGCTGCTTTTTAGGCCCTTCTAATTAAAGTCTTAAAAATATTTTTTTTTGTGCATAATTATAGTTGATCTTACATAATTAAAACTTTTACTTTTATTGGCCAAAATATAATATTAGTTCGTATCCATCAGGCCTCCAAGCTGGAAATATTTTCCGAAATTTTGAATCGGAAAAAAATACAAAAACAATTCTTAATGTTTTATGTTTTTGAAATAAGTATGCCGAATGAAATATTTTTTTATTTTTGAGTATTCTTTATGATTCTCATTTTATTAAGTGTAGTTTCAAAAGCCATCTAGATTATAATTATTATTTTTTTACTTTTTTCTTCAATTTATTTTTTAAATTCTATTTCTTATTCAAAAATTTTACTCTGTAATTCAGTACTCTTCCATTTGGAAGACAAAAAAGGTTGTCTGGTTCGATTTTTTTGAAATTTAAATCTTAAATTTCAAAAAATATGTAGAATAAGTAGAGCCAAAAATATTGATAAATTTCCTTCACACAAATAAATTCCAACACACCTTCCATTTAAACTCCATATAAATTTGGAGTTTATTTTTGATTTGCTGTCTGAGCTTGATGGCCTGATAGATATATATGGCATTAGTTATACCTATATATAAAAATGTAACCAATAGCAACAAATTATTATTTCTACACTACGATTTTGTTCAAACTTGGAATGATTTTGTAGTGTATAAACAAAATTTTAACAATATTTTAGAAATTTAGACATACTACGATTTTCGAAAGTACTTTTTTTTTATCAAACCTCCTATTTTGGCAAATTTCAAAGTTTTTCAAGTCAAAAGTTAGGGCTGATTATTTAAATTACCCAATATTTTCTTGGATAATTTAACTCAGTACCTGTCAGCACCCTTTTAAATGACAATGAGTTTTAAAGTATGTGTCGATTGATTTTCTATAAAAAATTTTTGAAAATATATTTTAATATTTATTTTGCAAACTTTATTCTTTTCGCAATTTTTTATGCAAATATCAAAATATAACTCCAAAATTTATTTATATAAAAATATTTTTTGGTATTTTTAGAAGTAAATGACTTAAAACATAAACGAACGATGATAATTTTTTTATTCTTCATATAAACACATTTTCTTAAAAACCATAAAAGGAAAATGAGAGTTGCTCTCTCTACGAGATGGCCTTATAATTACCAGGGCAGTGAACAAAGTATACTTATATAGATATACTTATCGTATATTCTAAAAATCTACATATCTAAAATTTATAACATTGAATTACTTAATATGAAAAAGAGAAATTAATTATGATAGAATCATTTAATGTAGATAGATACATATATTTTTATCGTAAGGGGAGTGGAAAATGACATCATACCAAAGTAACAAAAATAAAAATTCTTTAAATTTATAAAGTTTAAAGGTTTTGTTTCTTTGCAAAAGGGATTATAGCTATATATATTAAGTTATTAATAATTAATTTATTTTAATGTTTATCGTAAACTTAAAACTGAATTTTACAACAGAAGTATTATTTTTTTCAACATTAATGCGAACAATTTTTATATTGTTGGTAGAACAGAGTGGTAAAATTTCAAATTTAAATTGCAAATTATTCAACAATCTTTTATTTAAATATTCGACTAGCTCTGTAGGAGTAGCAAAGCGAATTGCGTTTATTTTGCGCATCGGATATGCGGAAAATCACAATATCTGAGAACGGCGTTTTCTTTAAAATAATAACTTTTAAATTCTGATATAACAAAAAGCTTTTGTCGAAAAAAATTGTGATATTTGGGCCAGTTTTTGAGAGCATAATGTTTGCGAAATTTTGGAGAGTTATGATGTAACCCATATGAGGACTCTTCAGGTTAAACGGAATCAGATATTGAAGTTACTAAATAATTTACCCTTTTTACTACCACAAAATTGCAGTTATCGCGAGTTGATTTCTTATCTGACTTGACTGATAACCCACATTAATATTTTCCAACCAATGTAGATATTCATGGAATATTCGATTACGCTATCAATATTAAAATGATTAAACGTGCAACTAAAAATTTTTGATTTAAAATAAAAATTATCCTAGTTTAAAATTGTTTTGAAATGCTAAAAATAGTAAAAAATAAAATTAGTTAAGTACAATGACATAATTACATATTTGTAGTGTGTAATTAAAAGTTTGAAATGACTATCAGTTTATTTTATTTTGCAATTAAATGTGTATACTGCATGCATATAATATTGCAATTAATGAATATTGAAAAAAAAATTCCGTTATGGCAGGAATTTTCTTCACTGAATATTTTTTTCTTTCAAGAGAATTACCCTGTCATCGAAATTTCAGACCTAATCGAAACATAACCTAGCAATTAGAGCTTATAAATCTATAAGCTGAAATTTGATTTTATAAAACGCCTTATCAGGGTTAATTTTATTACACAACAAATATTTTGTACCAATATAACAACTCTCACAGTCAGCTATGATATATTTGTTCGCCCATAGGACAACAAATTCGTACGGGTATCACAGTTTCTCGTTTTAAAATGGTAATT